CACGGACGACGACGACAATGCCAACGGACGACGACGACAATGCCAACGGACGACGACGACAATGCCAACGGATGACGACGACGCCAACGGACGACGACGACGACGACGCCTCCAATGGACGACGACGCCAACGGACGACGTCAACGATGCCAATGGACGGCCACGTCAACGACGACGAGCGCGTCCTGCTCCACCACGTACACACGGCGACGAGTGTTCCTCCTCCCCCTTTTCTTTCCCTCCTCCCTTCCTGCTTTCCTTTTCCCTTCCCCTGTCCCTCCATGTACCCCTTTCCTCTCTCCTCCCTCTTTCCCTCCTCATTTCTCTGTCCCTGCTCCCTTCCCCCTTCCTTTTCCCTGTCCCTACTCCCTTCCCCCTTCCTTTTCCCTGTCCCTACTCCCTTCCCCCTTCCTTTTCCCTGTCCCTACTCCCTTCCCCCTTCCTTTTCCCTATCCCTACTCCCTTCCCCCTTCCTTTTCCCTATCCCTACTCCCTTCCCCCTTCCTTTTCCCTGTCCCTACTCCCTTCCCCCTTCCTTTTCCCTGTCCCTACTCCCTTTTCCCTTCCCCATCCCTGCCCATCCCTTCCTTCCTCCACCCCCATTTATTTCTGCCCCCCTCCTCCCCCCCTTCTTTCAACTTAGAATACAGTAAAATAATCTTTGTGTAGCACTTCAATATATGAGAATTTGATTCTATATAACTGTTCTAAGAAGAAACTTGTGAGGTTATTATAGGACAAAATATAATAATAAATTGGCTGACTACATTAGACTTACAATAAATATGATAGGCATGAATTCCATTCAGATTCCGGTGGAATCCATTGGAATTCCATTCAGAATCCAGCGGAATCCATTGGAATTCCATTCAGAATCCGGCGGAATCCACTGGAATTTGAGATTCCTACCATTCCGGCGGACTCCGGATGGAATTCCGACATTCTATGGGAGTCCGCTGGAGTCCGCCGGAACTCATGGGGGAGGGTAAAGTACTGGAATAAGGCCAGAAATCAGATTTCTCTCTTGAGGCAGTTGCCATACAATACACCTTTCTCCGATTACTGCGGTGGCTGTCGTCTCTCATCACTGCAGATATATCAATCGGCTAGATATAAAACCCATACATGATGGGCCAAGAATATTTATTACTGTGCAAGACGAGCATTTGCTGCAGATTTTGCGGCAAGCAAAACAATATTTTGACAGCTTTGCACATGCAATTATTCTGAGGTAAATAACAAATAAGTATGCCGTTTGACATTCAGTTACAAATCTTCTGGTAGTTATCCAATTAATTATCTGAGCTTGCCATAATTATTAGAATTGTGAAGGCTGCCATCCGTGACATTCAATATAAAGCCTTAGATGGGATTACTCCTTCGATGAAGAATTGCCGTGGAGAGCTGCAAATATGCTGTTTGACATTCAGCTACAGATCTTCCGGTTATTATCTGGGCTTACCATAATTATTCAAATCATGAAGGCTGCCACCCGTGACGTTCAATATAAAGCCTTAGATAGGAAGCTGGAGATTATTCTTTTCACAAAGAATTGCCGTGGAGAGCCGCAAATATGCCGTTTGACATTCAGCTACAGATCTTCCGGTCATTATCTGAGCTTGCCATCATTATTCGAATCGTGAAGGCTGCCACCTGTGACGTTCAATGTAAAGTCTTAGATTAGAAGATGGGTATTACTTATTCGATGAAGATCTGCCCTGGAGAGCCAGAATTATGGCGTATGACATTTAGCTGCAGATATTACAGTCGTTGTCTGAGCTCTCCATACTTTTGCAGATTGTGAAGGCTGCCATCCAAGCCCTCCTCTATAAAGTCTTTCAAACAAAGCTGGTGATTACTTTTCCGGCGGAGAATTGTCGTGAAGAATCAGTGATATACCGCTTGACAGTCCTTCCGCGAACTTCCATTCATTAAGCTTTCAACAATAACTATCCTCCTATATATTTCTATTCAATGTTGACTATCATTCTTGTATTTTTTGGGCCGAATACATACTTTACAAAAGTAGATACGGCTATATCATAACAAAGTCAATTCCCTGATGCCGCAAGCGCGGACTTGCGTGATATTTTGTTGAGCACGTGCACAGCGCCGAGGTCAAACAAGATCAAATAAACCAAACACTGGAACTAAACTACGATCGATTATGCATATCCCTACATATCTTACCCTAACTCGCTCCGTTCATCTAAACAGAAGATTTATCATTACTGAGGTGTAGAAACTTCGTCAAAATGACATGTAAGTGTTACTTTGATGGTTAGATAAGATATCAATAAGTCACGTAATGTGTCCGGGGAGGGGTTGAGGCCCAGTGAAAATCAACCCTAAAAAATGGCCAAATGGATCGGTGGAGCCCGATCTGAACAGGGGAGATGGCTGGAAATTGGCAAATATATCAATTTGATCCGGAGAAACCCGATCTGCACAGGGTCAATTTTCACTGGGGTTGAGGTTGGGGAGCTAGGTGCCGAAAGAGTCCAAGGTTCGTTCCATTCCCTTGTCTATCCTTTTCCCGGTTCTTACAAACCCATACCACTATGACAGATTCATGTACCCTTATCCTCTGATACGCCAGAGTTCGCAGCGTGTCTCGTGGCCCAGTTGCCCAACCTTTACATCCTCCCAACGTTGTGGTGAGGTGTCAGGTATGCAAGGCCCGTTCTGTACGTTTGTTGGTCCCCATCTCGCTACGCACAACTTCGTTTAGGATGCAAACAGCACGGAGACCGCCGACGTCTAATCACATAGTAGAGGAGACTGGTGGCTACCACTTTTATCTATAACCTAGACTTAAGCCTAGAGAGTCATTTCTATAACTTAGACTTAAGCCTAGAGGCCATATCTATAATGCTTAGGATTTTTTGAAAGGCATTTCAAATGTAGGCCTGGGTATTTCATAGTGAATTTTCCATAGATACCCAGCGCATTTTCTGCGAAGCTTCAAATGCAGCCCTGGATATTTCATGGCGATTTTTCAATAGATACCCTGGGCATTTCATTGCAATTTTTCAAATGTATCCCTGGATATTTCATTGCAAAATTTCAATGGATACCTGGTGCATTTCATTGCGATTTTTCAATAGATACCCTGGGCATTTCATTGCGATTTTTCAAATGTATCCCTGGGTATTTCATTGCGATTTTTCAAATGTATTCCTGGGTATTTCATTGCAATTTTTCAATAGATACCCTGGGCATTTCATTGCAATTTTTCAAATGTATCCCTGGATATTTGATTGCAAAATTTCAATGGATACCTGCTGCATATCATTGCAATTTTTCAATAGATACCCTGGGCATTTCATTGTGATTTTTCAAATGTATCCCTGGGTATTTCATTGCGATTTTTCAAATGTATTCCTGGGTATTTCATTGCAATTTTTCAAATGTATCCCTGGGCATTTCATTGCAATTTTTCAAATGTATCCCTGGGTATTTCATTGCGATTTTTCAAATGTATTCCTGGGTATTTCATTGCAATTTTTCAAATGTATTCCCTGGGTATTTCATTGCGATTTTTCAATAGATACCCTTGGTATTTCATTGCGATTTTTCAAATGTATTCCTGGGTATTTCATTGCGATTTTTCAAATGTATCCCTGGGCATTTCATTGCGATTTTTCAAATGTATCCCTTGGCATTTCATTGCGATTTTTCAAATGGAGCCCTGGGCATTTCATTGCGATTTTTCAAATAGATACAGTCATCCACGATTTTTCCAATGTACACCACCATCATTTGAGACACTTTTGCCTACCTAATATCTCACTCAATACTACACCAACTTTTACAAAACAAAATTTAACATGTAGTAAAAGCTCATATCTACCAGTCTACAAATTTTGGATGCAGTCAAGGCAATATTGACAATGCTGTGG